TCCCAGGTCGATGCCCAGAAGCCGCAGGACACTGTGTCCACAGCTCACTGCACAGGCCATTCACCCTCCCCTGGACTTACCCTGTTGAGGAAACATGTCCCACATGATGGAACACACAGCCCAGCTTGGAGTAGCAGGACAAGATGTGATTTCACTAAACACCCCAAGTCAACTGGCAAATCACACCAAAAACAAAATAGCCATACTTTGAATCCATCCATCACGCTGGCAAAGTGTTGGCTCAAAATTGGGCTCTCGGGATTATTGACCCACTCTGCAGACTGGAAGAGGAAAGGGCCACTCACCAACATCTTAGCACCCCAAATACAAAAAGCACATGTGATGAGGGAACAATCTGGCAGTGTACCAAAGACACTTAATCAGTCCCTTGCTACCTACTAGGTCCTAAATGTTGTCACTGACACATTCCACTTAAGAACCAATGTTTCCCTACACCAAGTACCAAAGGGAGGTAAGAGATCACCTGTGCAAGGAGGGCTAACTAGATCACCTGCCATGATGGCTAACTAAAGAAGCACAAGCCTTAGTGCTGCCAAACTGCCTAGGGGAGCTAAGGGGTGAGGAAAGTGCAAGTGAGCTAGCCTGAGAAGCAGGACTAGGGAAGGCTGCAGGCAAGAGCAATCTGGGTCAGAGGAACAGGAAAGGTACAGCGTAACAGCAGCAAGTAGGTGCAGACCCATCTGGCGAAGTGTGCAACAGCAGCACATTCTTCACTCCTAAGACCAGAAGCACCAACTGAAATAATAACCCTGATTCGCTGCCACCTGGGCCAACCGGAGCTTTAACCACAGTGCTTCCTGTGCCCTCAATACTTTCCCGTGGTGACGGTGCCCGGCACACAGCAGGTGGTAGCTGGTGACAGTGCCCAGACACAGCAGGTTGTGGTGAGGGCTTGTTACAGGGCTGTGGGGAGGCATCACCGTTCGTCTCCCGAGGGACATCAAGTACCAGGAGTCTCCTCCTCCTGCTCTCTGCAGTGGCCAAAGTGTTCAGGGAGAAAGGGCCACTTACTTTCAAATGATTCAGAAAATAAATTATGTGTGTGCATACGTACATACGCACATGCACACATGAAGAAGAAGGCAAGTAAGGTAAAATGCTGACAATAGGTAAGCCTGGGTAGAGAGTACGCAGGTATTCTTGGCATGAATTTTATTCTTGCAACTTTTCTGTAAGTTTGAAAATATTTCCAAATAAAAACTTTCTTTATATGTTAAAAAAAAAAAGACATTTCGTTAGCTAGTGAGGTTGGAAAATATGTCAACACCCCTTTTCAACTAAAAAGAATGAAATTCTTAAGCTGAAAGCACAACCAGCCAATGAAGCGAGTTCTACAGTGTTACAAGGTGGTGGGCTGTGAAGGAAAGAGCTCACTCAGAAAGCGCCTGGCAAGCCCAGGTGCAGGTTCAACTTCCCAGCTATTTCTATGAGTTTCAGCCACATCTGCTTGCAAAATATCCACACTCTTCCCCTTCACTAACCCATGTGCTGCTCCAGAGGAAAGGTGCTGTGGCCACTAGGTTAGTTCACTGAAGATTTAGCAATTCAGCACAGACAGCAGGCCCCTCTGGGTTCCTAATGACAAAAGGGAAAGAACCCTGAACTTGGAGTGAATTCACCCAGGTTTGAATGCTAGCTATGCTGCTCACCAGCTGTGCGACCTTATGCAAGTCATTTGCCTCTCCAGCCAGCTTTTCCAACAGTACAAGGAAGACAGCTTCCAGTCTTGCTACCTCATCAGGCAGCCTCACTGAACACAAGGTTTTTACAGGGCTGGGGAGCTCAGCTGAGACACAGCTCACATGGGGAAGGCAAATGTTTTCTCAGCCATGTATGGTGGGGTCACCCTGGATAAAGCTGTAGCTAAAACCATGGCATGATTTTCTTTCGTCAACGAGAAAAACAGTTTTAGAATCAGCAATTGCTGCTGCATCCTCTGCACAGATGGAGAAAAGGTCAATGAGATGACACCATGGCCACTGGTCCCCCAAAAGCCCCTCCATGCTTGTCGTTCCTCAGAAGAGATCTCCAACCTACCCTTCTCACCACAGCCCCAGCGGATATAACAGACACCACCATTGGTCATTATGGCTAACCACAAAGGGGATTTGGGGAGAGAACTGGTTCTATACCTCAGATCAGAGTATTCAGATGGAAAAGGGTCTGTGCTCACCTGGAGAACCACTTGGTCTATCAAGGGAAGAGATGTGGCCTGGAGTTCCACAGCTGGGGTTAAGGCCGGGACAGGACAAACACAGCCGGAGTAGACAGAGCCTCAGCCAAGGGCACATGATGGGCCAGACATCTAGGACTGAAATCTCATCTCAGCCACTTACTTTCATGAGCTCTCTGTTTATTTCCCCATCTATAAAATGGGGCTAATAACAGTCATCTACCTCACAGGGATCACCTGAGAGGTAATCAATGCACATTTTACTACACATTAAAACAGCACCTGGCATGTAACACATCTTCAATCAACCAAGACCAAATACGCATTTAAAAAACAAAAACAAAAACTTTGCCAAAAGGTCAAATTCAGAGCTCTCTTGTTGCCGCCACTCTGTGAAAGCCTTCACACTCTGGCCTGCACCAGCGAAGAACCAAAAGTGGCTTGGCCTCAGTCCTCAAGGACTCCCTCCCCTGGAAAGTAGGTTCTGCCTGATGCCCTCCTCACACTCAAGTAAGGGTCTAAGCTGGGACTCCAACAGAAAGAATGCAGGTGAAGACCAGGGAAGCCCTCCTTCACACGCATCAGCCAGCAGCACCCTGCCTGGAAGGACACAGAGCACACACAACCCCGCAAAAGAGAACCTCTAACCGAGAGTGTGACTGGCCCTAGCCAACCAGCCAAAATCAGGAAACCAGCAAACCCCCCAGGGTTTGCAAGGCAACTCAAAACACCATTAGGAACCACTGCAAAATTCTAATCTGGAAAGTCATGAATACAGTGGGATAATCTGCCCCTTCAACCAGAGCCACCTCCTTACCCCAGCTCAGACCTAAGTGTGAGGTCTCCTATAAAGCCCTCCCCTGCTTCAAAGGTACAAAAACTGGCCACCTGGACTGCCTGCCTCTTAGCCCCCACACTCAAGCCTGATTTATACCTAGTTTCTGCTTCCATACCTAAAGGGCACTCCTAGAGAAAAGGATTTACTCAATTCATTTGAGCATCCCTAGTGGTAGGCAGACAGAATTTACACTTTCTGAATTGTTGCTGGCCAGTTGGCAGGATACCCGGACAGACAGCAAAGGAAAGGGAGTTGGGGACGTTGGTCACCTCTATCATCCAGAGAGGTGGTGCTGGACCTGGAACCAGAGGCACCCCAAGGAAGACAGGCATGATGTGTGGCTTCGCCCCTGAGTCCAGTGACCTGATAAGCAGAACTAGGACCCAAGAGCCAAAAGAGAATGTCTCACTTCTCTACAGATATAAACATGTTTTCTAAAGAACTTAATCACAAGGAGCCACAAATGCTTTGGTTCTGGACCTCAAGGGCCCATTCAGTACTCTCTCCACAACTAGCCCTTTTTCTGGCTACCATTCCTACTGAGGCCATCCCACCAGTCACCCTGCTGCTGAGGGAACCATCAGAAGCAGCGAGCAACCAGTTCTACTCAGGGAGCCCAGAGAAGCATCACTGGAAAGACTCCAGGTTGAGCAGGGGCCCAGGGCCTTGGCCACCAAGTAAACACTGGGGAGGAGACAGCAGTCTATTTAGGATGACAAAGGCAGAGAGGTGTGTCATGTCTGGTATGAGCGCCTTGGCTGAGGCATTAAGGAGGGTGGCACTCCACTGTGCTCCCCAGCCTGTTTTTACAGAGACCTGACAGAGCTCATAGACAATAGCCCTGGACACTTTGGCCTTCATGGGCTCCTTCTGCCATAAAAGATTACTAAGAATCATACTTTTCAACTGCAATAGTATAAAGCTAAATAAACTTTAATGTGCATAACATTTTCTTTGACCTAAACGGTCAGGGTTTTTTTTCCTTGCTGATTTTAAAAGAAGACCACTAAAAGCACTCTGTGGGCCCCCAGCACCAACCCTCCTGTACTTGATGAATAAATCTGCCCTGCAATTGGGGATTTGATTTTTTTGTTGCATTCAACGGAGGAGGGGGTACACAAGAAACAGAGATAAAAATTATCCTGGACCTTCTGGCTGCCATGATTCTGATTCCCCACCACAAGCTTACTTACAAAAACACAAGCTCCAAAGGGAGTTCCAAAAGCATTTAATCATCACATACAAGGTACACTCCTAAGTGCCTGGCAATGTCCAAGCTCCGACGGCGGAGACCCGGCTGCGCGCGGCACGAGTCTCTGCCCCAGGAAGCTAGGTTGCTTTCTGAGTGCGACGCTTGGCGGACTCCTAGTACCTCCTCGGATCGATCTCTCACCTGAGTTCTCAGCTACAACACCTCACTGAGTGACAATAAGCGACACGGCTACCGCTCTCCAGCCAAGGAGTTTCCAGGGCCGAGGTGCTGGCACAAAAGCACTGCTGAGGAATAACATGGGAAAAAAAAACCATGTGTCTCCACAAGCTGCTCTCTCGACCCCAGCACTCCAGCCTGACCCCAGCCGCTGGGCAAGGAGGGCGCGCCCCAGGGGCGCAGCTCCTCCGCCAGAGAACTCCCAGGCCCCAGAAGTTAGGTCGGGCCCCGCACACCACTCTCGCTTCGGTCAATCTCAAAGCACGCAGCGCTCCACGGACACGGATCCAAAGGTAACATCCCCTCGAGAACAAAGTTCCATGATGTGAGAAGCGCTCGGAGCCCAGGTAAAACTCTCGGCACGGTCCCGGGCGGGGGGCACGACGGCCCGCGGGCAGGCCTCAGATGCGCCCTACCGGGGCCCCGCCAGGTGGAGGGAGATCCCGGGAGACCCCGGCCCCGCACACCGCCCGCCCTGCCCTGCCCTGCCCCGCCCCCACACATCGCCCCCACCGCGCCGCGCCCACCGCGCCGCGCACCTGGCCGCAGCGGCTCGGTGACGGTGAGCACGAGCAGGAAGAGCAGCAAGAAGGCACCGCTGTCTGCCTTGGGCACCATTTATCCTCCGTTCATCGTCCCCGGGGCGGCCGCGTGACCCCGCGGGGAGGCCGGACCGGGCCGGGCTGAGGGTCAGGGGACCGAGCCGGGCTGAGGGTTAGGGAACCGGGCCGGGCTGAGGGTTAGGGGCCGGGCGCGGAAAGGCAGCGGGAGAAGGCTCCGGCTAAGCCACGGCTACACTGGGCCGCGGGCTCGCGCGCACTCTCGGCCTCAGTCTCGGGTTCCGACTCCGGCTCCGCGCAAGATGGCGGCCGTCCTGCTCAGCTCCGCACCGCCCCCCGCCCGCGACGCCGGCTCCCGCCAATGAGTGCCGAGGCAGGGGGCGGGGCCTGCACGCTCCCAATGCGTGCGGACCCTTGGCAGTGTAGGGGGCGGAGCCTGGGCGGTTGTACCCGAAAGGGGCGAGGCCTAAGGCTGGGAAGGTGGTGGGGGCGGGAACCGAGAGGCGGGCTCGACGGGTGGGCGGAACTATAAGGAGTGAAGTGTACCATTGGTTATGCAGAGAGGTGGGGCTCGGGGGTGGAGCCTGGGTGGTAGGGCCCGCCAAGGGCCAGGTTACGAGCTCTGGACGCGCGGGGCAAGGGCGTGGGGGAGGGGTAACGGGGCCAAGCTGACGGACACAGAGAGGGTCGGGGTGCAGTGGGGCTGATGAGGTGGGGCGCGGAGGGGCAGGGAGTGGCCCTGGAGGGCTGAGCGTGAAGGAAGAGGGGAGCGACAAGGAGCCAAAGTGGTCCCGGGTGAAGAAGGGGTCTTCACACCTTGCATACCTGCAGGCCCAGGTCCTGTCAGCAGCCTAAGAGTGCTCCCTACAGTGGTCTTTAAAAAGAACCGCTGCGAAAAAGGGATAAGGAAAACTGGAGGAACCCGGACATGCTTTGAGGAAGTAGGGAGATGGGGGAATGGAGGAGCCACCCTGTAAGGAACCAGCACACACTACTGAAAATGTTTCAGATGAAGAAATAGCCTAAAGGAGTGTTCTACAAGGAGCGCTGACAAGGAAGCCCAGATCTTAGACTGTGGAGCAAAGCTGGCCTCTGGAGGAAGAACTCTGCCTACACAATGTGGGAGGAGGGGGAAGGAATGCTGGGCACAGCTGCTGCCACAGCAGGCCACGTCTGCATAGAGGAAAGGCTCAGGAGACGATTCCAGTGTTGACCTCACACCTGTCAGGGAACAGAGTGACTGTGGAAGAGGGCACAGCAAATGGGAGTGTCCTCAGTAGGAGAGGAGCAGGCTGTCCAATGGAAGGACCACCAGCCATGCACACAAGGCCTGGCACAGGGTGTCAGGGCTGGGGAAGAGGGTGAAGATGGGAGCAGAAAAAAGGGGGACCCATTTTAGCCTGGCCCACCTCCAGCCCCACCAACTTACTCCCCAGGAGCAGTCCTCTCAAGCTCTTTCAAGGCATGATCCTCCTGAATGTCCCAGGATTCCAGCCTATGACACTCAGAGTCACTCAGTGAGAGAGGTATCCACTCCCTCTGAGTGGATATGGCCAAGGTTAAACCCAAAGCTAGGCCAGACCTGCCTGCTCCTGCTCTCTTGGGCTATAGCCTGTAGCAGGTGCTAGACAAAGAGCCTGTCACAGCAGAGGGGCCCCCATGCTGGCAGAAGCAGTGGTCCCTGTCCAACACTGCCCTGGCTGCTTGCATTGTCCTCATGGACCATTCCCAGAAGCAGCTGCTGCACTCAGAGGGATTCAGGCATAGCTTTTAATGTGCCATGGGAGCCCAGCCAGGGTTACAAGCTAGGCAGACCCCAGAGAGGCAACTCACAGCTAAGAGCAGATATCCCAGCCAGTTGTTCCCCTGCAGAGCCACTGTTGGAGAAGCAGGCCAGCAAAGGTTCAGATGAAGAGAGTAGAACAGGGAACTTATGCAGGGAGAAGGCAAAACCCTGGCCTCTGAAATTGCAGTCACTGCACAGGAGTTTTTGCCCATCCTGATCCACCTCTACCCTTGGCCCAGATACATGGCCTGCAGATTTCCTGTGTAGACACCACCAAGGACCTCCAGAGCTGAAGGGAGGGAAAAGAGATCAGGGATATTTTTCCCTAGCTCCCTCCCTGTGGGGTCACTGCAGCTTCCACCTGAGGTCACTGCCTCTCTCAAGGTGGTCCTCTACACTCTTCCCAGGTTCCAGTGACCCACCTTCCCTTCCAGGGGTCTGTTACTACCCTTGGGTTACCCTACACTCAGTTCCCACCTTTGTAAGAAAGATGAATTTATAAACTCTTCAAACTGCCCTTAACTTGAGTATGTCTTTAGTTTTCCTTCTGGGACGCAGACTAATAGGACCATTTGCCCTGGATTCCCTGGGATGCCTCATGTGGCAATAATCAGCCCCACAAGCAGGTCTGGCTCCTGATTTGGAAGCACCAGCACACTGACGTGTTCCCCACAGCCGTCTTGTATCTCGGGTCCCAGCCAAGTGCAAGGCCACTCTTCACTGGCCATTGGTCTGTTTCAGCCCACTGGCTGGTCTTCCAGGGTTCCAAGTCCAAGTGGCTCAGGCCAGAGCCTCATTCCCCCAGAGCACTCCTCCTTTATGACTTCACCCACTGAAGTCACCTGGGAGACGATGCTCAACATTCCACCCCAGAGTCTTGGCCTCTAGGAGGCAGGAACAGCAGGCCCAGCCAGCCCAGAGGACTCTCTGTCCACAGTGTAAATAAGGACGCCACTGGCCCATGTCCCGCAGGGATGTAGAGGGCAGCCTCAGAGGCACTGGGCGCTCCCGGCACCATGGATGACGCTGCCATCCTCAAGCGACGAGGCTACATCCTGGGGATAAATTTGGGAGAGGGCTCGTACGCAAAAGTCAAGTCTGCTTACTCTGAGCGCCTGAAGTTCAACGTGGCGGTCAAGATCATCGACCGCAAGAAAGTCCCCACGGACTTCTTGGAGAAATTCCTTCCCCGGGAAATTGAGATTCAGGCCACGCTAAACCACCGCTCCATTATCAGGACCTACGAGATCTTTGAGACCTCTGATGGCCGCATCTACATCATCATGGAGCTCGGGGTCCAGGGCGACCTCCTCGGGTTCATCAGAACCCGGGGAGCCCTGCACGAGGATGATGCTCGCAAGAAGTTCCACCAGCTCTCCTCAGCCATCAAGTACTGCCATGACTTGGACATTGTCCACCGAGATCTCAAGTGTGAGAACATCCTCCTCGACAAGGACTTCAACATCAAGCTCTCTGACTTTGGCTTCTCCAAGCGCTGCCCGAGGGATGACAGTGGCCGACTGATGCTAAGCAAGACTTTCTGCGGGTCAGCAGCTTATGCAGCACCCGAGGTGCTGCAGGGCATCCCCTACCAGCCTAAGGTGTGTGACATCTGGAGTCTGGGTGTGATCCTCTACATCATGGTCTGTGGCTCCATGCCCTACGATGACTCCAACATCAAGAAGATGCTGCGCATCCAGAAGGAGCACCGCATCAACTTCCCCCGCTCCAAGAACCTGACGGGTGAGTGCAAAGACCTCATCTACCACCTGCTACAGCCGGACATCAACCGGCGGCTGCACATCGAGGAGATCCTCAGCCACTGCTGGGTGCAGCCCAAGGCACAGGGCCTGTCCTCTGGAGTCATCAACGAGGAGGGGGAGAGCTCCCGGGGTGCTGAGCCCTCGTGGACCCCTGATACTCCTGATACCCCAGCCACCAAGCTGGAGCTCCAGGAGGAAGCACGGTCCGAGACACGGCCTGAGATACAGTCCGAGTCAAAACCTGATGAGACGATGCAAATGCGGGTGTCAAGGCAGTCAGATCCCACGGGCCTTAATGGCGAGCTGCAAAGCAGGGAAACAGAGGAGGGGGTTCCCTCACGGCCTCCAGAGACACACACCTAGCGAGCCTCTCTCGTCCCAGGGGACTGGCAGGGAATGATGCAGAGCTCATGGCTTTGAGCCTGAGCTCCAAAGAAGCCAAGGGACAAGCCAAAGAAGGAAAACTGTCCTGGATGAGCCACTATTTTCATCAGTTCCTTCTCCTTTCCTTTGAACTTGGTAACCCACATGGCTAAAAAAGCAATAAATATTAGTGCAGACTCCAAAGTGGACGTCTTTGCCCCAGCTGACTGCAGTCATCCAGGGAAAGGATCCTGCACTCCCCCCACCCCACCCCCGCCAGCTCCCCACTCTCAGATCACACTGCACTTCACCTCCAGTTTGGGAAAATAAATCCCAGTGTGCCCAACCCCAACTGTGACCTCAGGCTCTGGACCAGAGCAAAGAGCTGAGCTAGGAAGATGCTACTTCAAGAGGGAGGCCATGAGCATGGTGCTGAGGAAGGGGAGGGGGCACAGAGAGGACAGGATAGCGAAGGGCAAGGTGGCTGCCTGCAGCAGAGGGGCGGGAGGCAGAGGGCTCCGTCTGCAGTTGGGGCTGAGGGTCCGGGCCCTCAGCACCCCAGTGCCACTGCCTCCTCAAGGCTGCCGGTGGGGAAGTGCCCTGCAGGGAGCAGGTGAACCAGCCTCTCAACCCCTCTTGAGCTCCCCACCCTGCTAGGCAACTCGTTTCTTCTGCTCCGTCTACTAGCCATGGCCAACCAGCACCCGGTTCTGGACCTGCCCTGAGTCATCTGCCCCTGGTCATTCTCCCTGCCCAGAGGAAGTGGTGGGGGGTGGGGCACTGGATGGCCCAGTGCCACCCAGCCTGCCTGTCCCACAGTCACTGTATGGCCTTGACTACCTCTCTTTCCCTTCTAGTCCCCAGCCTGCCTCCAGGGTTGATGATCCATGCCAGAGTGGAGAAGCAGACATTGGTGAGGAGAGAGGACAAGTGTGCTCACAATGCAGTCCTGTCCCCTATGGCCATAGGTGTCCCGTAGAGAGAGGAGGCCAGCGTTTAGCACCACTGGCTACTCTGTCCTGTGAGGCCCACCCATGTCATTCTCAGGCTCTTCTCACTTCAGCCACAGCAGCCCCTTTCCCTGACTGTTCCGCACTCACTCTGGACAACCTCGTGTGGATCTGCAGGTTTGACACATCAAGAGGACAAGAGCCTTCAGACTTACCCCTCCCCTGCCCATGTCATTGTCCTGGAAAGACCCTAACCCCAAGCCCCGGGAGAAGTGAGGTCCTGTGAGTGCCCTGGCCCTGCTCTCTCTGTACCCCTCCCCACATCCGCTCCATCTCTCCTCTTGGCTCCCCCACCCCCCAGCCACCTTCACACATTCTGTCTTCCTATCTCCATGCTCCTGTGTATGGGAACACACAGCTCAGCTACCTCTACCTGCCCTGTCACTTCTCCAGTGGCTACAGCTGCCTCCTGCACACAGTCTGGATCCCACTGCCCTCAGGAAGGATCTCAGTGCTTGGCCTTGGCATCCCAGGTCTGGCTCCTCTTGGCCTCCCAGCACCCCCACCCCCCATACTCACACCCCCAACACACACATGCCGTCATCATGCTTGTGGATGCATCCCTGCAGACTTTGCCCATGTCTCCAGGATCAGCCGAGGGGCTGTGGCCTCCACAAAGCTTTCTGGACTTGACAGCTCCACTATAAACTCTTCTGGGGCAGGCCTGTGAGTGCCAAGGTACAGGCACAGAACAGGCCCTGGGTAATACCAGAGGAACCACCCAATTTTTCCCAGAGGCTCTAGGAACCCAGAGTCATACACCTCATCTGGTGGTGGAGTAAAATTCCAGAGCACATGGGGCTGGCTGGAGTGGGGACATCCTGAGGAGTGGCTCATGGACCTCCTCTGCTTGGTCATCTGTGGCCACATGGAGGCAGTGGACGATATGCAGCAAGAGGGCCTGGGAGCAACTGACTACAGCCCAGCCACAAGGCAAGCCTGGGCAGGAGGGGCCCCAGGAAGGAGCATCTACTGTATGCTTTACAGGTGGGGAGACAGCTCAGAGAAGGTGGGCAACTACCTGAAATCACACAGCACAGAGTGGCAGCCCAGGTGACTGAAGCCCACCCCTTCCCAGGGGGCCACACCTGTGAGCCGCTCAACTCACTGGGGTCAGCCCTGGCTCAGACCCCATCAGTGACCCTCCCCAAGGCTTTACAATCAAGACCTTCACCATGGCCTCCATGGTCTGCAGCGCTCCCTCCTGCCTCTGCACACCCCCACCACCCTGTGTCCCTTCAAACTATCACATCCTCTAGCAGGTCCTTGTCCTCCTCCATGTGACCAGCTCCTCAGACCTCAGCCCTCCCAGCCTCCCCAAATCCAGCCCCAGTTTCTTCCTCACAGCCCCATGTTCCCGTGTCATGGCACAGCCACCACCGGGCACTCGCGCTGTTCATGTGACACTGAAGCTCCCTGTCCTCTGGACTTCAGGAAAGCATGGGCCTGCTTCATCAGTGAACACCAGCATCTGGAACCAACCCTCAAGTGCCAGTGGGGTGAGTGGAGAAACAGAGGAAACCGAAACTCAGAGGGAAGTGGCCTACCCAGAGTCTGCAGGTCTCACATGCGCAGGGCTGCAGGCTGGGAGTACCCCTGGAGGCCCCAGGTCCGATCTAGCACTTCCCATTCCCTTCCCATGCCTGCCTCCATGTGCACGTGCTGGGTGATGCCATCTGCTCGCCGTCACGGCAGCTCAGCTTGTGCCTCCTCCACCACGTCCCCAAGAACCGCAGAGGTCACACTGTCCCAGGCAAGGGCAGAGTGTGAGGGAGCAGGATCCACAAAACAAGGAAAAGTGGGTGGGTTGGTAGAGTCAGCCAAAAAGGCAGACATGCAGGGGGTACCCCCAGATAACACATTTGGGAGTGCAGGAGAAAGGCAGGGGAGACTGTCACGCTCCTGGGTCCTGGCCTGCAAATCCTCACAGCCAACCCCTTCTGGGACGCAAAGGAGTGACCAAAGACGTCCCAGGAGGAAGCAGGCATCAAGCTAAAGCTACTGTAACAGGAGCTCCCAAGAGCTGGGAGCAGGCCTCAAGGGAGCCGTGGCAGCTGGAAGGCAGTCACTCCTAGCTGGCATCTGGACTCTGGCTACCCTGCCCCTGAGATCTTCCACACGAACCTCCAGATGCAGGGAGCTCCCCACGTGCCCCAGGTATGTCCACACGGCTGTGCTCCAGCCAAGGTGGCACATCTGCCTGGCACGTCCTACCCCTCATCAACTTGGCAGGGCCCTATAGATCAGCTGCACACTGGCTCCTTCATCACCTCCCCTCCAACCACCCACATAGAGGCAGGCCTCCTCTCCCACCCCCCTGAACATGAGCACGTGGCACACCCACCCTGGCAGCGAGCTATGTGTGGGCACGGGATGCCTGTGATGGAGAACAGATAAGCAGCAGGGCTTCCAAACTACCCAAGGAGACACACATAGGATGCCCCAGTTCCCAAAGCAAAAACAAAAGGGTTTTCATGTTGCTTTCAGGTGCAAAAAACAGCTCTAGAGATGCAAACGGTGCTACATCAGGGTTGCACCAGCCCACATCATGCCCACTCCTCACAAATTCAGGATCCCCTCCTCATCCAGGTGCCTACTCTTATCAGGACCCCCAGCAGCAAAGCTCCACCCAAGGCTCTGCCCATGCACTGACCAGTGCACCAGACTCTTTGTCTCTCTCTGGCACCCAGTCCCCACAGGGCCACCCTGGTCCATCCTCCTCTTGTCTGGTCAAAGGCACTGGCTTCCACTTACCCTGAAGCCCATTCTCTATGCACTCTGCCAAGGACCATCTTGAAATGTGACTTGGGTCATGGCTCTTCCGGCCCCAGGCCCTGCAATGACTGCCCACCACTCAGGGCAAAGCGGCCACTTCCCTTCTCCTCCACCTCACTCCAGACTGTGGGACTCAGCCATTCTCAGAACAAGCCCTCACCTCTCCCAGGCTCTTCCCTGCCTGGATGCCTCATCACCTCCTCTACCTGACCAAGGCCCAGCCCATCCTCCATGCACGCCCCAGCCCTCGGAACATGCATTTGTCAGTCTGGGGCCCAGAGCTCTGCCTGCCTTCCTGCCCACACAGGCCCTGCCCGCCACAATAGCACTCTTCTCCCCAGCCTTCTACCCAAAACAGGAGCTGCTCTCATTCATAAGGCTAGGAACAGCAGCCAGCCTGGCCAGACCAGGGCCATCCCTCCCAGGTGCCACCGATTCCAAGGATACCAGCCCTAGAGAAGGTTTTTTCATACCCCAAAAAGCTGCAGGAAATCAGCCCTAGTGAGACATGGACCAATGCAGTGTCGGTCCCCACAGCCAGGAGAAGGAAATGGGCATGGGGTTGGCACTCTGGCTTGGCCTGGGCAGCCCTCCCTTGGGCCTGACTCATGACAAGGAAGCCACAGCGAAGAGGAGGAGCAGGGAGGGTTACCGCAGTCCTGGGTACTGACTTCCTTCCTGCTGGGCCAGCCTGGCTTCCAGGGTTCCAGGGGCCCCGTTTTCACCCAACTCAGTCCCCACTCCCGGCAGCCTGGCTTTATGACTTCACATGCTGAAGTCACGCAGAGACAATGCTGAGCGTTACACCCCTCCAAGTCCAGGCTCAGCCCAGCCAGACAGCTCCTCACAGTGTAAATGAGGACAATGCCCGCTGGCCCACGTGGGGAGGGTATGTAGAGCGCAGCGGCGCCAGCCACACCTGGCACCATGGACGATGCCGCGGTCCTAAGGAAGAAAGGTTACATCATGGGCATCAATCTTGGTAAGGGCTCATATGCAAAAGTCAAATCTGCCTACTCTGAGCGCCTCAAGTTCAACGTGGCGGTCAAGATCATCGACCGCAAGAAGACACCCACCGACTTTGTGGAGAGATTCCTTCCTCGGGAGATGGACATCCTGGCAACTGTCAACCACCGCTCCATCATCAAGACGTACGAGATCTTTGAGACCTCTGATGGCCGCATCTACATCGTCATGGAGCTCGGGGTCCAGGGCGACCTCCTTGAGTTCATCAAGTGTCGGGGAGCGCTGCATGAGGACGTGGCTCGTAAGATGTTCCGCCAGCTCTCCTCGGCTGTCAAGTACTGCCACGATCTGGACGTTGTCCACAGAGATCTCAAGTGCGAGAACCTCCTCCTCGACAAGGACTTCAACATCAAGCTCTCTGACTTTGGCTTCTCCAAGCGCTGCCCGCGGGACGGCAGTGGCCGCATCATCCTCAGCAAGACCTTCTGTGGGTCGACGGCTTATGCAGCGCCTGAGGTGCTGCAGGGCATCCCCTACCAGCCCAAGGTGTATGACATCTGGAGCCTGGGCGTGATCCTCTACATCATGGTCTGTGGCTCCATGCCCTACAATGACTCTGACATCAAGAAGATGCTGCGCATCCAGAAGGAGCACCGCGTGGACTTCCCCCGCTCCAAGAACCTGACGGGTGAGTGCAAGGACCTCATCTACCGAATCCTGCAGCCGGACGTCAACCGGCGACTGCACATTGACGAGATTCTCAGCCACTCATGGCTGCAGCCCCCCAAGCCCAAAGCCATGTCTTCTGCCTCTTTCAAGAGGGAGGGTGAGGGCAAGTACCAGACCCAGTGCAAACTGGACACCCGGCCAGCCTCTCGCCCCGAGCACCAGCCCGAACACCTGCCTGACCACAAGCTGGGGGCCAAAACCCAGCACCGGCTGCTGGTGGTGCCTGAGAATGAGGACAGGGTGGAGGACAGGCTGGCTGAGACCTCCAAGGCAAAAGATCATCATGTCACCGGAGCCGAGGTGGGGAAAGCAAGCACCTAGCGGTGCTAAGGGCCCGGGGGGCGTGGTGCATGGTATGCACCCACATAAACTAAATAGGCAGGTAGGAGCTGAAGGCGGCACAGGTGCAAGGAACAAATAAAATCTGTCAATTAAACCACTATTTTGATTATGTTCTATTAGCTTTCTTCCACTTAGTAGCAAAAACATTAATTACTGACCACCAAATAAACCACAAAGTGTATACATGCATCAAGAGTGGCCCCTGAGGAGTCTTTTTCTCTAGGACTCAGGCAACCACCCTCCCTGTGGCGTGGGGGTCTCCAGCACAGGGGTGCACAGGCAGACTTACAGCGAGGCCCTGTGGGCAAGAAGACCTCAGCTGCAATCCACTCCCAGGTCCTCACTGTCTCCCTCTGACCTGCCCCGGGGCCCAGCGCCTCCCAGGCTGGCCAGCTGCTTGTGTCTCTCCTGCTCAGGCACAGCACGGTCCACCTGACCCTGACCCCATCCTGCTCCTTCAGACAGCCCCTTTCTCCATGTACTCTGCTCCCTCCATGGCTGTGATTGAGACCAGTGACCTCAGCCCTTCGAGTGCCCTTTCATCTGCTGGAATAGCCCCAGCCCAGACCTCTCACTCACACCCTCTCCACCCCATCCCATCCACCCCACACACCAGCCAGTGCTCAAGGGGGCCAGCGCTTGGCCTCAGGTGGCCTTGCCTGGACAGCATCTCCCTCTGCATCTCACTCACATCCCACTCAGACTTCTGCCTCTATGCTTTTCTGTCCTATGCCCACCCTTCCCTGTGGGGGAAAAGCACCAAAGGCCACACTTTTCTGACACCCCCCCCCGGCAGTCCTGGATCCACCTGCTGAGTTCAGTCCCACCCCCCTGGTGAGTTGCAGGGCTTGGCTGGGGTTCAGCCCCCTGGGAGCTGACAGGAATTGAGGAGCACAGGCTAGTGGGTGCCCAGGCAAGCAACAAGCCCACGCCAGCCTTCAGGGAACATGGCACTCATGGAGGCGGCCAGGACCCATGCGGGACAACCCAAGACAACGGCCAGTGCAGGGCTGGGCACACTCAAGAAGAGAAAGACTCTGAGGGGCGCCTGGGTGGCTCAGTTGGTTAAGCGGCCGACTTCGGCTCAGGTCATGATCTCGTGGTCTGTGAGTTCGAGCCCCGCGTCGGGCTCTGTGCTGACAGCTCAGAGCCTGGAGCCTGTGTCAGATTCTGTGTCTCCCTCTCTCTGACCCTCCCCTGTTCATGCTCTGTCTCTCCCTGTCTCAAAAATAAATAAAATGTTAAAAAAATTTAAAAAAAAAAAAAAAAAAAAAAAAAAAAAAAAGAAGAAGAGAAAGACTGTGGTCTGAGTAGATTCCAGGCTGTCTTTCTTGGGCAGTGCAAACCCCTAGAAGGGCACAACCTGACCCTACCTGAGGCCCGAAGAGACCCATCTGGGAGCCAGCTTGGGTCCCCCCTCTCCCTGTGAAGCAGCCCTAGGAGGCCTGGGCACCAAAGCCCTCTGGGTCATGGGCAAGTGTGGCCTGTAGTGCACATGGTGCTATGGGGTCTGCATGGGACCTGGCCCCACTGCTTCTGACACGTTGACCCAGGTTACTGTTACCCACGGCTCCTGCTAGTGACTCAGCAGTGTATGGAAGGCAGCGCCTAGAGCACTGGGAGATGGAAGGGCAGGAAGACAGAGACAGCCCTGCCCCATTTGAGCTGGAGACCAGGTACTTGGAGGTGACGCTGAGGCCACTGGGAAGGTGCCTCACGTGAGGGGCCGTCTGACACGTAGGACCTGTGCAGCCCTGTCACCAGCAAACCACAAGGGCTGGGCCTGGCTGGAGAGGCTGGAGACCTGGACCCAGAGCCCCAGCAGAACATGAGGGACATGGAAACTTTCAAGGATTCCCTACTTCCCTCAGAGGGAAAGAACTTGGGGGGCAGGGCCCAATGTGCTGTGAGCTCAGCCCAGAGGGCAGGTTCCAAGCCTCGGGGGTGCCACAGAAAGAAATGTAGGTAGTGGCAAGAAAGGCCAGACACCCTGGTCTTCCAAGGGTCACCTCACCCAGAAGCTTCCTTCCAGGAAGGCCTGCAGTCCTGAGACCGTGCTGTAGGCACGAGGGCCGCCTAAGGGCCGTGCAGAGCAGGCCGGACACAGAAGCCTGCCAGATGGTGCTAGGTGCTCTTTAATGACAGCTAAATAAAAACAGACAGGCGGTTGATAGAAAAGAGTACGAACAAGACCGTGGGATGCACCCCAAAGGCTGTGAGGGCCAAGTTTTGTACCAGTCTGGCTGAGGCACGGCATCTCTTCTGTGGCTCCTGGGACAGTCACCATTTCTGGCCCGGGCCTGGGTCCCCAGAAGGCCGGAGTCCTCTGCTGAGTGGGCAGCTGCCCTGCAGGCTCCACAAAGCTTCCACAGGCCCGACCCGGGCCTGGCCCTAGAAGAAGTCTGAGGCTTTGCGCCGGGCAGGGAGTTGTAGCAGATTGTCCGTGATGGAGGCTGGATCTTGGTTGAGGGGGGTGCGTGCTGTAGAGCCAGGAGCCGGCGTGCTCGTGGGGGTCTGGGGCCCACCAGCTGGGGTCTTGAGGTGGGTTGAGCGTGCTGGAGATGGGGTGTAGCTGGCCCGCAGGGCCCGGTCTGTGTACTTGCTGGCCGTCCTGCTCACGAGGCGCTGCAGGGCTGGAGACATGGCTGGGCTCAGGCCTTTGGGGGTGAGGCTGGGATGGAAGAAGTGGGTGAATGAGGCACCATTAGGCCCATGTGGGCACCACCGCAGCAGGGCCTCCCATGGCCCCACAGGAAGATACATGGGAGATGCATGGTCATTACAGGCTGAGGATACCAGGTGGCCTGGCACACAGCAGTGTAGTCAAACTTAAGGTTCAGTGGTAGTGCTGCCCTTGGCTGTGGGGCTGGGATGGACCTCAACTCTCTCCAAGGAGAATGATACACCTGTTTCCAAAGCGCTGACAGGAGCTCATAGCAGGACAAGGGGCCCAAAGGTGTCTCTAAGGGTTGTGCCACGGAGGCTGAAGAAGGAAAAGACGGAGAGGGGCCCTGCATCCTGGTTCAAACAGGCCATGCCCTGGACTAGAGGAGCTGCTATAGGACCCACTACAGAACGCCTGGGCCTGCCCTGCACACTGTGCATCCATATGCAGGGGGTGGGGCCATGTGGGAGCAGGGAGAGACCCCCACCCACACAGGTCAGCCACGCCTCACCTGGCCAGGTTCTCTGTCACTCTCCTCAAGGCTTCCTGCTTCTTGGCCCGGTTCTTGGCTGCAGCCTCGTTGGCCATCTTCAGCCCCAGCCGTTCCCTGCGGCCCGGCTCCAAGATCTACATGACAGCAAGTCTGTGGGTAGCTTGCCACCGAGTCAGGCAGTCCCTTGCTGGTGGGGCACCTGCCTCTTTTCGTGGCCCCCATGATCCTCACAACCCACTGCCACCTTCCTAAAAGCCCTCCAAAAAGCTTGCCTGAACTGCCCACCTGCCTGTCCTCACGGACCCCTAAAAGCCAGCACTGCCAACTTATGAACCTCTGACAGTCTTTTAGGAAAGAAAGGGGTCTTTTTGAATCGGCTTCTCTGTGACTACCAGAGTAAACAGCTTTCTGTTTAACATCTATTGACCTTCTGTATTTCTTTGCAGAACTTCCCGAGACGCATCCTTGGCCTCTTTTTTTCTATTAAAGTGCTTGTTCATTATTTAGTGTTTTACCCACATCAGTTACATTAAGCTATGCCATACAAATTCCCTCTCAGTTATTTGCTTTCAGTTTCTCTTACGTGTTTTTGTGTTTTTTTTTTGATGTATTTAAGTTTATCACTTCGTACAGTATAAACTAAACCTCACTTCCCTTAAGATCTAACCCTTCCTACCTTAAAATCAGATTAAATACTATTATTTTCTTCTAAGTGTCTTACGTTGACTTATACACTTAATGTTTCCGCTTCCAGGAACTCGTTCCATCTTATGTATCAAGAACTTCATTTCCACATACTCTACTACTCAGCACAATTTGAGCTGTTATCTCTCGTGTACCCTGAATTCTGATTTGGACGAAGGTTTGTTCAGAATCTCTTCCCTACTGCCCCATAGGCTCTAGGACCAGGGGCAGACTTCTGACACACCTATACCTGTGGCATGCCTTAACACCTGCCGGCACACGCTCCTCCCTGTCATTCCTCTCTTCAGTTTTCCTTGGTTATCCTTGTGTGCCAGGCAAGTTTAAGAACCAAGGGGCCAAAATCCTCTGCGCACATTCTGTCTAGACATGCATTGCTTCTCAGGGGGAGAATGAGCGGAGCTATGCTAGGGAGGCCTCCCGGTGGGGCCCGCACGCTCCGGCAGTTTTCCTTACGTAAGTCTGCAGCACTCGCCTGTGGTTTCTTTACAAGAGCTTAATTATTGCTAGTCGTTCTAAATTTCTGCTGCTATAGTGAATGAGACCTCTTTTTCTGTTGCACTTCAAACTGACCACTGCAAGTGTTTAGAGGGGCCAGTTCAAGACCATGTGTGACCCAGCTCCCCATGCAACAGACCTACATTAATCCCAAATTCTGTGTCTGACTCTTTGGGGTTTCAAGGCACATGATGTAACCCCACACCCTTTGCCCTCTGCAACATCACTGACCTCCACCTCCTGTGATCTCCTAGCACTCCACGTTGGGAGTGTTGGCCCAGCACCCCAAGAACAGGACAGCATGCTCCCAGCTTCCAGCAACTTCTCTTCCTTCACATTCTAAACTATGTCACTCGGGTTCCCCAACAAACTGTGCAGACCAGAGCACGCTGCCCTCCCAAAGCCTCTCTGGGGCCCCACACCATCCTAGGCCATCCCATCTATACAAACCATCTGGCACTTAGCTTCCCTTCCCTACCTGCTCCAGGCCTCATAACTCCCCCACTCTGACAACTTCTAAATAACAAGTGCCTCCTGATTCATGCTCTCCTGTAACCAGAGTCCTCTCTCTGTAAACACGCAACCCCCCCTCTCTCTGTAAACACAAACCACATCCCACAGAACACTGGGGTTCTGGGGCCCTCCCCGGTCCACAGGCCTGCAGACTCAAAGGGCCATGGCTTTGGTGCCCTGACCTCACACCCGAATCCCTCTGTCCAACCACACCTGTCCTTAGTGCTCTGGCCCTATTCTGAAGTGCAGTACCTGTGCAGGTATGCAGCCTGGAGCATGGCTTGGCCCTTCAGTAGGCTCTAGTCTGACCAGTGGGAGCTAGCTCATTCTCTGTGTGTTGAGCTACAAGTTCTCAGAGGACCACATGCCCTCTCAGGGTCGCACCTGAGCTCCCCTCACCATGACTCACCTTGAAGGCTGGCCCTGGCGTCCTGTCCACATAGGGGGTCTCAGATCCTTCCACTCTCAAGGGAGTGTTTTCAACCTCCCCCCAGGTCATCAGCGGTGACTCGTTCACACCTGTGGATGGAGAGAGCCCACAGTTACCTCAGGCCAGAGGATCTGGGTGGGGGTCCTGCCAGGCCCTCTCTCCTACAACAGCCAGCTCCCACCATGAGCATCCCAGCTAACATACACCAAGGTTGGCAGTTGGCCCACTCTCCTTCCCTGGGACTCTGGGACCTGGTACCTCTGCCCTCTGAGATGACAATGCCAAGGCTACTTTGAGCCCAAGGCAAGCCCAGGCCCCTACAGCTGTGGAGCTTAGCCTGGGAAGAGGGCTCCCCAGAGAAGCCAGGCTGGGTCAGCCAGGCCCCCATCCTAGCACATGGCCAGGGGAGCCGCCTAGAAGTTGCTATGGCATGCCACCCCAAGGTGGAGAGACACTTGGGGGCTTTCAGAGCACCCAAACCTCCCAGGACCCTGCACAAACCTGTAGTGCCTCCATATACCCTGGCCTATGTCACAGCAACCAGCAGCCCAAAATACAGAGGACGATGCTCGGGAGAGCAGGAGGACACCACCTGCACCATGAGATTGTCCCCAAGTCTCATAAATCTCCTGTGTGAGGTCACGCAGGGCTGGAGCCCAGAGCTTCTTCCCTATGCCCCTACACTTAGCCTCCCCCTGCCCAGCCTCCCCATGCCCTTAAGCATGCTTGCCGCAGCCAGTCTGTCCAGTAGAGCCCCGATACCCCTGGTCCCCCAGCAAAACCAGTCTGTCCTGCTAAGCTCAGGGCAAGTCACGAAGACTGCCCGGCTGAATGGGCTGGGACTCACACATCTCAAATCAGGTCTCCCTAAGAATCCAGCCCGCCCATAGCCCCATTCAGCCCTGTCATTGCACAGGTGGGACACTGGGTCTCTGAGTCATATGAGGCACAGGGCAGACATGGGGAAATGTCAAGGATGCCAAGAGCCAACTGAGCAGCCCACCTCCCCACAGGCAGTCCTATCAGGGGGCCAGCTTGACAGAGGGTCCACTACTCACCAGGGGCAGGAGAGGGGGTTGCAACAAATCCAAATCCGCCCACTCGGGGGGAATCCTGGGGGATCAGTTCTTTGCCATCAGGGCCCACCTTGCCCTGTTTGTGCTGGAACAAACAAGACAGACCAGTGTTAAGGGGGAGCCAAGCCTGCTCCCGCCAGCTAGCTGAAGGGCAAATGCACAGGAACAGCTGGAGAGAGAAGAACCCTGGCCCCTGCAAAGATTTTGAGGACCTGTCAGAGCAGGTATCAGAAGAGAAGCTTCCCCTCCTTCTGGTCTCAGGCCAGACTCCACAAAAGCTGCTTTCGGGGACTACCGACTTAGGCCCCCCCAGGAAACTACACTGACCACTGGCACACATGTGCTCTGACATCTTTCCCACAGGTACCTATAGAAGCTTACAAAACAGTCTCCTCACTTCCTGCCTCTCCCTCTCCTGGAGTCACCACTGCACCATGACACCCAGGCCCAGAAACCCCTGTTGTCTGCCCCACCAAGCCTCACTGCGCCCCAGCCTGCGCACCCCACCTACCCCTGCCCTGCCTGGTACAGAGGTGTGGGTCTGGCCAGACTGGACTGGCTCCCAGCAGCGTCTCTTCTCTCATGTCCTTGTCCTCCAGGGACAAGGGGCAGAACTGACCCACCAAACATCTCTGGCCCCAGTAGAAGCCCATACAGTCGAGAAAAGGCTCAGGACCCTGCCGCACAGGAGCTCCAAATACTCCCATGCTGCTAGTCTCTGCCAAACCCAAGAACGGTACTAATTTAATGAAGGCAGCCAAGATCAGAGAGGTTGTGCCCACATCCAGCCCCTGCCACTCACCTGGGCATTGAGGGCGGCGGCCTGCTGCAGCTGGGACCTGCTCAGGGCCTGGCTGAAGGGGTCCCTGAGGAAGCGAGTATTCTTATGCACCACCTGCCTTGGCTTCTTAAATAGCTGTTCTTCATCAGGGACACCTGGCAGGTGGAGACAAGATGGCAGCGGTGTCAGAGGGGGTGGGGAGTCCCCATTACTGCCCTGCACTCAAGGCTTGAGGTAGAGACTAAGTCATTCCCCAGTAAACAGAAGCACGGGGCCTAGTAAAGCAGGGGACGGCCTCACTCTCTCACTGACAACACACAGGCTCCTCTGCCCCGAGACAGACCAGGGCACCTCCGAGGCCCAGTATGCTAGGGAGCAAAGACCCACACACACACCCTAAGGCCAGATCCAAACACACTGTCCCACGCCATGCCACCTGCCCGCCCTGCCTGCTCACCCTCTGGGTAGTACATCAGGGAGTTTTTGGCCTTGTACTTCCAGGTCTCCACACCGGCCTGGCTGCTCTCAATGGCTTGGTGCTCTGCCGACGGAAGTGCAAGATTATCTTTCTGCCTCTGCATCACAGGGGAAAAGTGAGGGTCAGAGAGGTGCCCAGGCACTGTGCCCCTGGCCCCAGGACTCCCTCCATCCTGACAGAGGATGCCAGTGCCCCTGTACCCAAAGACACCTTCTCAAACTCCTCCTCGGCCTGGTAGAGCCATGTGTGGCGTGCCCGGCTCTTCTCCTTGGCCACCTCCATGATCTCCTGGAAGGAGGCATTGTCCTCACTTGTATACCGGCTCAGGAAGACATCCAGGCTGGGCAGGGGCTCCTTCTCCTCCTCCTCTCCAGCCTCTCCTGCTCAGGAGCACAGGTGGGATGACACAGAATCACAAACAGCATCAACACTGCTTTGCAGTCACAAGATCTCAGGAACCAGGCTACCTCATAAGCAGAGATGGAACCCTCACCCTGGTTGCGGGTCTGTTGATGAGAGCCCACACCATCAGACAATTCCCCTCCTAGGGGCAGAATCAACCCCCCTCTCCCCCTGCCAACTGCCCAGGGAGCACTCAGGGGCTCTCCTCAACTGCTGGATGTCAGGTGAAATGTTATGTCTGACTCAGACCAGAAGAGTGACATCCAGGGGCTACAGAAAAGGCAGGTGATCACAGTCAGGTCCTGCCTTGCCAAAATTGTGCTGATCCTGTAGGATCCACCTTCAGAGCCCCAAGCTCTCCCTCCATCCCTGGGTTTTCTTACCCTGCCTGCTCCTCCCTTCCTGGTATCTGTGCCACAGGTGGATGGTTTGTCACCTAAGCCCCCTAACCTGCTAGCAGGCTTTGATGGCAGGGACCCCGTATGATCCAGTACTCTAGATGGGGCCTCACAGGCACTGGGCCGCGACTCCAGCTGCCCCTCCCACCGCCGTAGAAAGGGGCACCCCTACTGAGGTCCCATCGCACTGCACACAGTGGTACACACTTCAGCAGGCCCATTAGGTGGAGAGCTTTGTCTCCCATTCTGCTGAGTCCTGACCACACACAGACTCCTAGACTGAACAAAGTACACTGGCTAAAAGCTCAAGACCCAGAGGCAGAAAGAGAACTCAAACCCCATTCCACCACCAACAAGCCCTGAGACCTCCTTTCCTGAGTCTCGGCCTCCTCACCTGTGAATGTGAATGATGATGGTACCTACCACTTAGGTCACCGAAATGATTCTTAGATATACTGACAACGCGTATTTAAAGAAAAGGAATCTGCAAATTGCCTGTGATGCATCTGCCACGTTGCAGTAGAGAATCAAACTCCAAGGACACAACATGACAAACCATGGTAACGGCACAAAGAAGTAGACTTAAAAAACATTTTTTTTTAACATTTTATTTATTTTTTTGAGAGAGAGAAAGACAGAACACGAGCAGGGGAGGGGCAGAGAGAGAGGGAGACAGAATCCGAAGCAGGTTCCAGGCTCCAAACTGTCAGCACAGAGCCCGATGTGGGGCTTGAACTCACAAACTGAGAGATCATGACCTGAGCCCAAGTTGGATACATAACTGACTGAGCCACCCAGGGCCCCACAAAGCGCTGGATTTTGAAGCAGAAAATATTTTGTCCGTGTAGACACACAACGCACTGCACACTAGAACCTGGTAGAGAACAGCATCTTATCTGTCTGAGCACTGATGTTCTACTAAGAACAAAATAATCAACTGATCATGAGAAAGTCCTGTAGCATGTAGTATAGTCATGTCCAACAGGACTCAAAATGCTCTTTCCTAGAAAAAAATCCCTCATAAAGTTGGAACATGTTACGATCCCCAATACATGCACTGAGGAAGACAACTCTTTCATTTGTTCTATTCCCACAACACACCGTGTACTGTTCTGGATGCAAAGTATACACACAGAGGTGAGACAAAGAAGCTCTTGTGGAGAGAAGAAGCAATACGTAGAGAAATGCCTTTTTAGGTGCCATGTCCTGCAGTGAGAAAACAAAGCCAAGCAGGAAGGCAGCATGCATGAAAGGTGATGTAACTTCACGTTGTGGGGG